ATCATGACCTGAGCCGAAGTCGGATGCTTAACCGACTGAGCCACCCCGGCGTTCCCCAGATGATCTCTCTTAATCCTCATTGTCCACTCTGCCAGCGAGCTGCTATTAGCTCGACCTTAAAGACGGTCACACTGACACTTGTCTCTGCCGCTGCAGTCGGGCCACGGCCAGGGGCGCGGGGACTGGGGAGCAGGGCTGTGAGGCATCACGAGGTCTCCAGCTGCTCTGAGGGCACCGCCATGCTGGTGCTCAGCCTTGGCTGTGAGAGGAGGTCACCAGGGCAGGAAGCCCCCAGTCTGGCGGCCTGGCAGCCAAAGGGGTTTATTTCAACCCAATGCCTTTCTTTCCAAGAAAAGTGGAAAGGCCTGTCTGTTCTGATTACAGCTGACAGCCTGCCTCAGGCCAGTCTTTGATAGAAATACTCCCATTATATAAGGGGGTTACATAAATCATCTTGTGATGTCTGTCACACGTCCGCGAGGTGCTGGCCGTGCCGCTGTGCCTCTGAAGGGGCACTTGTGTATTTCCGGAGTTGAGATGGTCAGGCCCAAGTCGGCAGGTCGGGAGGGGTGTGCCTGGCTCTCTGGGTTAGCTAAGCCCCTAGGAGGGAGTCGGGGCCTGCGAGTTAGTTAATAGCAGGGAGCAACAGCATACAATGGTCACGACCAAGCGTCTGGACCCGGCTGCCGGCATCTCAGTCCCTGGTCTGCCATTTACTGACCAGACGACCTTGGGCAAGTTTCCATGCTAATTTGTGCCTCAGTTTCCTTATCCATTGAACAAATGGCTCACTATGTGTCATATACCTTGATCCAGTGGTGAGTGCTGTCTAGGGCCGAGCTCTGAGCAGACGTCAGGGTGCAGAACAGCCTGACCTTGGGTGAATCATCTCCCCCACCCGGCCTCTCTTCTTCACCTCTAAAATGGGAAGATGGCCCATCTCTTAGAACGGAACTTTCTACAGAGGTGTGGAAACGTAAAATTGTCTTTAAAATTTATTTTTGGCGATTGAAAATATTACATGCTAAAAACTGTACTAACAAACACACACTCAAACGAGTTGTAGCTCACAAGCCAACACACGAGACCCGTTAGCCTGGGCAGTTAACCGGTTAACGCCCCAGGGGACTAGATACTAAAGCTTCTCGGGGAATCGTTTTCATTTGATGACTATCCTGAGATAGCAAGACAGACTTTTAAAAATTTACCATTTTAGCCTCTTATCTCTTTACGTCAAGATTTCTATAGGTTCTGCAACCAGAGCAAAATATGGCCGATACTAGACTGTAATCCACAACTCCTGATTTTGAAGTTCTAGGTCATCAAAACACTCTCCTGGTGTGAATCTGTTTTCAAAATAAGTGGAAATTATCGCATTTGGGTGTGTAAAAGAAATCTGCCCTCCTAGCACGTCCCTGTCACTGTTTCATATATTGGACTCCCTCAGGAGTCTGTTTAAGGGGCTTCTTTGTGGAAACACAGTTCGAAAGTCCACTGCTCCAGGTGACCTTCCAGGGTCCCCCTCTGGCTGGGTGGTTCATGCATTGTCACCTGCCTCCTCTCACTTTTGTTTCCAATCTGCAGCTGCGTTGGCTGAATTCTAGAAGTGGGTTATGTCAGATGACGTCCAGGAATTCTGGATGGGTGGCTCCAGGTAGTTTGGGAAACCAGGGAAAGTTGGGGTGTTTGTCCCAGTGATGGGTGGACAGAAGATGGCTGTTAAGTTGTCAGAACAGAGTTGGTCTCCCCTCCAGCACGTTGCACTGGGGACAGAGGAGTGAGCAAAGGAAGCCCCCCTCCTCCGTGCCCTCTGGTCCCCGCACGCGGGTGCTGAGTGGAGTTACTAGAACCCGGAAGTCCCTGACACTGAACCATGTAAATAATCTTGAGGAGGGGTTGGTGCAGCTGGAAGGTCAGAGACCCGCATCCGTGACGGATGATGGGGAAGGCAGTCTCAAGTTCAAGTCAGCCCCGCTCACGTGCCTTGAACAGGTGCTTCAGTGGCCCCGTCTGGTGCAGAGAGATGCAATTAGGAAACAGTGCTCCCTGTTCTCCACACGCCCACAGTCCGGAAGGAACACCGAGGATGTGTTGTCAGGTGCGACCGTAGCCGTCACCAGGCTCCTTCACTGAGTCCTCTCTGTGCCGAGGCCGTTCTACAGAAATGCGGAGGTGAATGAGCAGCTGTGCCCTGCTTTCACGGAGCTCACTCAGGTGGAGGTAGATGGGTGGGTGGGGCAAATAGTAAACAAACAAACAAATAGAGGCAGCAGTTTTTCCGTTCGGTGGAGTGGGCAACATATTTGATTCCTGAAACATTTAGTGAGAAACTACCCTGCGCCAGGCCCCGGTTAGGGGTCAGATTACCAAAGGCTTTCTGGGTTAGGCCAAGGAGGTTAGACTTCATTTTGGATCTATAAACATAGGGATGGGAGAGGGTGCACGGAGACTGGCCTGGCTTCAAGTTCAGTTTTGCCAGTAGTTGGCTGTGAGGCCTTGAGAAAGCAGCTCAGTCTCACATCCTTCATAGCAGTACTCCCCTCAGTGAGCTGTCGCGGGGTCAGGTGGGGTCTTCTACATGTGATCACTGATTGCAGCTCTTGGTACATATAAGGCGCTGACCAAGTATCAGTTTTCTTCCCTCCTCCTCCCTCCCTCCGCCCTCTCCCTCCTCCCCCTTCCTTCCTCCCTTCCTTCCTCCCTTCCTCCCTCCTCTCCCCTTCTTTCTTCCCTTCCTTCCTTCCTTCCTTCCTCCCTTCCTTCCTTCCTTCCCTCCATCCCTTCTTCCCTTCTTTTCTTTCTCCTCAATAAGTAGGAAGAACACACAGGAAAAACAGCCCATATAAGAGCACAATGGAATGACTTTTTAAGCTATGGACTCAGACCCCACAAGGTTCACTGGCCTCGGGGGGTTGCTACTGGCAGAGCAGTGAGGGGACGACGTCACCGGCGAGCAAAGCCCGGTGGGCTGCAGCGGGAACAGACCCCGAGCCTGCAGGAGGCCACAGAGGGAATGGGCCGGGATGGTTTGAAGCCAGCGTCCCAGTAGAGAATGATGCAGAAGGCGGTTAAGTGGGCCAGTGCTGGGTTACGGAGGGATTCGAACACTAGCCGAGCCATGTGACCTGGCCCCCAAGCAGGGGGCCCACCCCGGTGACCTCAGGGCAGCCCTGTGCAGGGCCAGTTCGGAGGAGCAAGGATGTTCCCGCCTGTACCGGTCAGGCTGGGCTCGGTTCTGCTGCAGAGACAACCCTCGGCTCTCAGCGCTTAGAGCAACGATGACTTAGCCGTCGTGCGGCCGCGGAGAGGGGCCGCTCTCCAGGGCGGGGGATGGCCAGCGGTTGGGAGACTCCAGTCCAGAGACACCTCCGTGCCAGCCCCTGCTTCCCCCCGCTGCCTCAGCAGGGGGAGGGGCACGGGGGATCCCACGCCCGATCCCCGATCCCTAAATTAAGTTCCGGCTTGTGGGCACAGGGCCCTCTCCTCCAAACCCTTCATTTGGCCTGCAGGGACCCTCCAGCCAGAGAGGGAGGCGGCTTGAAGCCAGGCCACTGTGGC